AGTTGTATTTTTGTTGTTGTTTAACGCCGTACTCTGCAATTTTCCGGACCAGACAATCCAGTGATCAATATCATGGGTATCGATCTACGATGTGTCAATCAAGCCAGTGAGCCTGACCACCTGATCCCGTTAGTCGTCGTCGTCGTCGTAGTAGTAGTAGTAGTAAAAACAGTGGCAGTGATTTTGTTGTAGTAATGGTAGTTGTAATAGCATTAGTAGTAACAGCGGTTGTTGTTTAACGCCGCTCTCAGCAATATCCCAGCAATATTACGGCAGACCAGGCCAGACAATCCAGTGATTGACATCATGAGCTCGTTTATAAACCAGGTCAGCTGGTCTGACTACCGAGCCTCTTACGACAAGCATGGTTTGCTGAAGACCAATTCTTAACCGGATCTTTAAGGGTCAGCAGCAACAACAGCAGCATAAACAACAGCAACAGCAAAAGCAACAGCAGTAGTGGTTGTAGTGGTAGTACCAGGTGACACATAAACTGTGGAAATGGTGGCCAGGGAGGGACAGAAGCGCCTGCTGAATAGGAACGTTTCCAACCATGGTTGGTATTCCTCTGCCATGAGATCATTTAGCACTTACGTAAATATCCCAACCGCCAGGGTTCTAAAGTTCCCTAAATTAATTTCCAGATCGAGATCAAATCACGTGTGTCTGGTAGCATGTTTGGTTTGTACGTTACACCCGGGTCCCGTTGACTGTTCCTCCAGACAGTTGGCTCAAGTCACGCCATGTTGCCCGGCCCGCATTGACACCGTGTTGGCGCACGGTAATGACTGTTTGGACAGACGTCCCTCGACGCCGTCCCAGTGTCATCCATGCACGTTCTATTGTCCTGGAAGTAACGCAACTTTGTCTAATTACAAGTTCAAGGCGGGCAATCCTGTATCTATATCAGTTGTCTGATTAAAGTTGACAGTATCACCTATTCACATTGTTGTATTACCAGACATTGAATGTACACTTCACGTTTCTTGAATAGTTCTGACGCTCGGGTGGATGTCAACCTTGGAATGATGTTTTATGTTGGTGAATGGCCAAGTAGGTCCGTTGTCTCCATTTTTTGTTTAGCGAATGAATGAAACAGAGTTTTATACCACTTGTGTCGATATTGCAGCAACATTACAGCAACCAGAAATGAGCTTCATGAGCTTTAACCACCAGACTATCCCCAGTTTACGAAATGGATACGGATCAGGAAATGGATACGGATCAGGAAATGGATACGGATCAGGAAATGGATACGGATCAGGAAATGGATACGGATCAGGAAATGGATACGGATTAGGAAATGGATACGGATTAGGAAATGGATACGGATCAGGAAATGGATACGGATCAGGAAATGGATACGGATTAGGAAATGGATACGGATTAGGTAAAGAATACGGACTAGGAGTGAGTGAGTTTAGTTTTACGCCACACTCAGCAATATTCCAGCTATATGGCGGAGGTCTATAAATAATCGATCGCGAGTCTGGACCAGACAATCCAGTGATCAACAGCATGAGCATTTGGAATACGATGACATGTGTCAACCAAGTCAGCGAGTCTGACCACCCGATCCCGTCAGTCGCCTCCTACCTCAAGCATTGGTTACTAAAGATCAATTCTAACCCGGATCTTCACAGGTTAATACGGACTAGGAAATGGAGTTGGGGATGGGACGTCATGTATAACTACGACAGTCAGTCACAGCCCCAACCCCCCTCAGAAGTGACACGTCCACGCCCAAGCCACCGACCCCCTTAGTACTCAGCGCCCATCTTCAAAAACAAATTAACACCCACAGTCGCCATACCATCCCCAAACCGCTCCAGACACCACCCTTTTGTCTACACCCCTCCCGTGAACACCACACCACGCCCGGAGCTCGGCCCCTTCTCAAACACATTCCCGACCCCACACACCGCAGGCACCACCCATCTCCAGACATGTCCCTACCCCTGGACAACGGGTCTCGCACTACTCCGCCTTAACCCAAGACAACTCCCTGCCTCACAGATACCTCCGCATCCCAAGACTCTACCCAATCCCTGGACCCCACCCAGGCTCACTGACATCTTCCCACCCCAAAAAACCACCCCTTCTCATAGACACATCGCCCCAACCACCCACCTTCCGTCCCTACCCGTCTACCAACCTGGGCCTAGATTTCCGTAAGTGTCATACATTAACATGAACTAACTCTGACCAACCCAACCTGTCTTCTCCAGATGAACTGAACTGTTAAGCATTACGCCGTGGACTGGCCGTTTTGCTAATGTCCACTAATGCAGCTAATGTTTATGCTGATTTCAGAGGCGTCGATTATCAGCTAATTAGTACCATCAACAGGGAAAAGGGGAATCGATCAGTTCTCATAAAAGAATTGTACGGAGGCTACTTATGCAGAACAGAGAACGGGGTGTAACGTCAGTGTAGTATTGTGCGGGAAATCAATAGTAAGGATGGTTGGTACATGATAGCGTTCTACCCAGAACCCGAAGGAACTGACGAGCAGTGAGTATCTGAGGTGGTCTGTTCTAACCGGGAGATCCAAACACGGGTTGGGGCGTGACAGTCACATCTGACCTACTCCCCTGGCCACCGCAGTTGGCGACAGTTATGTCATGGCTGATTGAAACAGCTGAATCGTTTCAAAGGCCAACATAGAGAACTACATTCGATCCATTAATGACACAAGAGTTGGCTCTGGTTTTATTCTAATTGCTTTACCTTGTGAGTGAGTATAATTTTACGCCTCTTTCAGTATCATTCCAGTAAAATCACAGCTGGGAAGAACAAAAATGGATTGCACATTTATACGCGGAACTGAATCAGGGCTATCAGTGTAGAGAGAGGACACCTTAACCACCGTGCCACCTATCGCCCTATCAAGCCTTGTTCTGGACACGGAGATGCGTCCTTTGGGCTTTCCATTGTCCTGGGTTCGAACCCTTGACTAACCCTGGATATATTTCTAGTTTGTCAGCAGCATACCCTACGGTGTTAGTATGTTTCATCAAGTAAAAAAGGTCTTGGCTTGCGTCACTTCGGCTCTGCTCTTGCACCCAGCTCCATGATGTAACGGAAACACCGTCCTAGGTGGAGTTGAACCCAACTCACTCACTCACTCAACCTTGTTGAAACTAGGTGTGCCTGAAAAAGAGTTAAAAAGAGTAACACTAGTTACTTTTAGGGCATTTAAACAGTAGAACTTTTCATTCCCCGCATCCCAGTTCAGTATCGACCGTTCACATCCACCCACCTCAGTGGACTGTGCTACTGTAGAGAGACACGCCAGCAGGATCACAACAACGTTGTCTCCCTGAGAAGATGGCGAGTTATGTAATAAAAATAACAAAAACTGAACTTTCGGAACTGTATTTACATACTTTAAAACTAATTTAATTAAGATTTTATAAAATGAAAGGTAATTAAGATTATAATACAAATATAGTTTAAATTCCTATGTCCGATACCAATTCCCTTTGTTTTAATGTGTAAACAAGCTTCCGTTTCTCTGTTTGTATGTTTGTTACTTGTTGTCACTGGGGTGAGTAAACATGGAGTTATATTCTATTATTAACAACGAATATTTTATTCCCAGTCAACGAGGCAAACGAAACTGGTACAATTCAGTCAACCGCCACAAGCATTATACAGTGTTCTTGAGACATTTCCAACCCAAGCACCAAAGGACCAAAGGACATTTACGCTTCCCAATACTTAATTACGTATACAGTAAATATACATATTACACAAATCTCGAGAAAAGTAAGGTACTCGTTATCTTAATATAGGATTATTGAAATATTGTTCTCAAGTGGAGGCGCTTAAGTTCTTATCGCCTTATACATCGGAATCGGTAATTTGTTCTAAACATTTTGCAAGATTTGAAGCACACGCATTAAATGTGTCAACTTCAAACAGGATTCGAACCTGATTAAGTGGTGACTACATGACAAAACGACTGGCCTACGCACAGCAAATTTTCATCAATAAAGGCAGCTGCGCTAGCTATATGATTAGGCGTCCCCTCCTGCATTTAATAATATTCTCCAGTGTATTCATACCAATTGATGTTAAATATCAGAGGTAAAGCTCGATGCAGCCGCTCAATGTTACAACAATCGCCATATAAGGTCATTACCGACGGAAGATTAATCAACTTAGCAATTTTATTATTGGAATCAATAACGAAGAAGTCGAATCCCTTCTGGAAGTGGGGATATTTTCAAGAAATTATTCAGTCTTATTACTGGTTTGTGGTGCGATATTTAGCGCCGCTTCTGGGTAAAATAACCCCTGTCGTTGCCTGCGTGTGTACGTTGGAAATCTGAAAGCAATTATTGGAAATTGAAATGTTGGCGACTCAAGCGAAGACGTATTGGTTCAGCCGGTTGGTCAGCAGACGACTAACAATGCCCACTAATAAGCCCTCGGTCGCCGGTCACCTCTCGCGCTCTGCACGTGGCGCATGAGACATTCAGCACTGGTCTGGCGGATCGATACCAAGTCAGTGACTCCACAGATAAAACGTTTTCCCGCTGGATATTGTCAGTGATAGTAAACGCTGACCACTGTGAATTTTAAGCAGTCCTTGAGGACGAATCGAGATGAACCCTGATTGAGGCATACCCTCAGCATCTGGTGTCGTCTGCTGCTTTAGTGAGCTTCCAGTGCCACGTGGTGAACACTAGAACCCCCCTCCCCCCGTTTCCACCCCTCTGGCGTAGTCTTCACATTCTGTCAGAGTCGATACCAACATATATCATCCTTCTCACCGCTGATTTGAGCTCGCGCGTGACGTCATAACACTCTGCCCGCCTTTTTCCCGCGTGTTCTGAGCTCGGGCTAATCTGCTCACTCAAACTACTGAAATCAATTTCTAATTGGCTTAGACTGAGAAAGTCATTACCTTGTGTCGTTTGTACCATAACTCTGTAACAGTTTTATCTCAGCATTCTAGCGGTGTATTTTTTTCTCTTTATTCTCGGTTCGTAAATCGCTACTTTTCATATCTGATAGGGACATGGAATTATAAGCCCATGAATATGCACCAGCCTTTAAATCAGTCCTAGCTGGCCAAGTGGGTTCCATCTATATTTAACGTGTTTTACATTCAATACAACAGCCGGGAATGGCCTCTTGTGATAAGGACGGACCACAGCTAGAGATAGTTCGCCCGGTATGACTGTATTTCGGAATATGGAAGTACGCGTGATGGTGGCGCTCTGCATCGCCGTCCGCCTGAGTAGCCCTTAGTGGCAACCGCTGTGCGGAGGAACCAGCGCTGTGTATACACAACTCAACAGATGCCCTGCCGCTGCTGCAGTCGTGTATATGTCCATATGTCGCAGCGTCTGCCGGCCGGCAGGTAGAACAGGGAGCTGATGATTCGACTTGTCTCTCATCGCGAGATGCGGAGCGAGGTGATGTGGATCCCTGTTGTTGCGCTGTAGCGGACTGTCCGGTGACAGGCGTGTTGTCACCACAAGAGCATGTGAAGTCACAGGTACCGCATGCGCGTCTGTGTACATGTTGTGGTGATATTTTCGATGTGACGTAAGCCTGTTTCACATACACACACACTCACACACACATACACACGTGGTGTGCAGTTCCATCGACCTGACTCAACTGTCATCTGTCGTCTGCTCGTGTGAGGTGTTGATGCAGAAGAGGAATATTGTACGGACGCGTGTCATCGCTAGTGTGATATTACAGTGTGGTGGATATATTCTCTGAAAGCTCAAATCTGGATGTGCCCTTTGGACGGAGTACATGTGAGTTTAACGGCGGAGACAGCCGTATGGAGGCGCTAGGACCATGTCGGGTGCATTGGCGCGGAGAAAGACTAGCGACACTGGTTTGGCGGTCAGATACACGCCGTGCGCCAATTCAGAATTGGATGGGGATGAAATTGAGGAAATCGCTATAGTGAGTAAAGATGCAAAAGAGTCACAGGAGGATGAGGTTGAGGTGGAGGCAGACGTCGAATGTGGCGAGCAGACGACAACAGCCAACGGTCCTCGCTCTCTCCCAGGCTTGGAGATCTTCTCTTCACCTAGTGATCGCACCAAGTTGATTGGTGAAAGATTAAGTTCCAGCGACAAAATTAGCATCTCCTCGCCCATCTATTCAAATAAGGTTGTGGAACAGAAATCGAAGTCAACGTCGAAACAAAGTCTGTTGGATATTGTTAGCGGCAAACTGGATCTTGTCAAAACACGGAAGCGCTATTCCCTTGCCCAGTCCTCGCTCATGAAAAAGCCCAGGCCGAGCGAGGCCAATATTGTGACATCGCGAGGCATTCGGAAACAACGGAAGAAAGAAATCGAGGACAAATTCGGCAAGAAAAGTGTCAGGGGTGAACGATTCGAAACTGCGACATCTGTGAGCTCGGACCGGGATGGATGTAACTGGACATTTGTGTTTGACCCCTCGGGAAGACTCTGTTACTGGTGGTCTTCCGTGGTCAGTATGGCGTTCTTATACAACTTCTGGGTCATTATTTACAGATTTGCATTTCAGGAGATTAACGCAGATAATCTGTCAGTGTGGTTCACATTGGACTACACCGCCGACTTCCTCTACGTCCTTGACATTGCCTTCCACTTCCGGACAGGTTACCTGGAAGACGGTGTGTTACAAACAGACCCAACCAAATTAAGACTCCATTATATGAACACGACCACTTTCTACATAGATTGTTTGTGTCTATTGCCATTAGATTTTTTGTATCTTTCCATCGGTTTCTGCTCAATTCTCCGATGTTTTCGCCTGGTCAAAGTTTACCGCTTTTGGACATTCCAAGACCGAACGGAACGTCACACCAACTACCCCAACGTGATCCGTACCGGCACGCTTCTGCACTACCTGTTGGCGTTGTTTCATTGGAATGCATGTTTATACTTTGTCGTGGCTACAAGGATGGAGAAGTCCCAGGACACGTGGAGGTTCCCGAAGGATAACACGAACACAGTCCTGCAGTATCTTCACGCGCTGTACTGGAGCACCTTGACCCTCACCACTATCGGGGACCCACCCTCACCCGTTACAATGGGAGAATATTTGTTTACTATTTTTGAAATGGTGTTTGCGTTGTTGCTGTTTGCAACGGTGTTAGGACACATCGCCAACATAGTGACAAATGTCAGCGCTGCCAGGAAGGAGTTCCAAGGTAGGTGATATTTACGTCATTTTCAATATTTCCCACCTGAATATTCTTGAGTTTTCAGACGAAGATCTAGACAAGTTACATCAGGATACTTATCAACACCCTGACATATTACTGTCTATATCCCATTACACCTTTCAGTGTTCCCTAGCTGCAATGTGTCAGGTATTTTCCATGGCATCTTACCGATATTTCAGTGGTGTAACCCAACGGCGTTTACGTCACGAATCTTTGCCATGGGAATTCGGCCTGCATCAATTGCTTAGTTCATGATTATTTATAACCCGGCGTTCGTTCAACCCCCAAACCCCAACCTCCGTGCCATCTGTCCCACATGAACAGTACATTGGCCGCCCACATGCATGAATCAACATACACATGTACTGTTCAGTTTCAATAGCGAGTATCGATCTGATGTGTACTCGATGTACGCAATACTCTCAAGGACGCATCGGTTCCATTACTTCAGCGTCGACATTCCATTCCTCAGTTCTACACATGCTGGGATAGTTCATACAGTTCTGACAGTACAAGGCGAAATGTGTCCTTGTGTACCGTCGATATCTTATCTAAAGTTGATTATTATTTACAATGTATTGCAGCTGACGGCAAAACTATTTGAAATAGTTAATCACAAGTCGCCAAACACTACGACACATATGTCACAGGCTGTAGACTGGGTGATATATAAAGACCATTAATCAAAAGAGGTATATACAATATTGCCCTTGTCGCCGCCCACTACAGTGCTGTAGTTGTGTAGAACATTTGTTATTAAACGCGCTGCCACACTCTCGTAAAACATAATTAAAGGGAGATCGCACTAACACTGACCACTATAATGCATTGCCATTGCCTGTGGTAAAACAATAAGCTCTTTTTAAAATAATTTTACATTTGAATATACCACTGCACTTAATCAAAGTCATGCAACGGTAATATTAATTGAATATGAGATAGCATTCTTTCTAACCAAAATTGTGTATGATATATCACTTAATGTAGTAATAATGATATTTACATACTTTGAATGAGAAAGGTACATTGCAAGGTCAGTTTGACCTATTCGGCCTTGTCACTTAGTGTAAAAGCAAATATATAATAGCAACATTTCAATGTTGTAGAAAAATAAACACGTTTAAATAAAGGATTTCAATAAATGTAGCATATGTGTATTTACACTATTTGGAATTCTGTTTACGTTTTGCTATCAGTCGGTAAGATCGGTTTAACTAAACTTCATGCTTTACAGAGTATACTTCATGAACGTTGAACAACGTGAGAACAGCATCACTGCGACATAACTCAGCACCATCTGCGGTTTCTGTAGTGTATATTTCTATATTACAAACCGAAGTACTTTTGTTCAATAGGGAAATGAAATAACCTGTTCAACCGGAACGTCATAGGGCTATCTGCAATTATCGGCAGCATATGGCTTGGACCGGACGATGCCGGGAGTAGTGTATTGTTGAGGATAGTGTAATTGGCTAGTCCAATAACTAGCCCTCATAACCTTATCGATCCTCAAACACTCTCACCTTCCAGCGGACCTCAAGGTCATAGAGCGTTAAGCTGCCACTGTTAACAGCGGTAAACGATAAAAAGATATCTCCCGGTCATATAGCGGGTTATGCCCTTGTACTAGCGGTGCCATCTTAACGTGTGTTATATATCACGTAAAACATGGTTACATTGGTGATTTCAACACGTGTAAACAGCTGTGGTCAGATGCAGCTAAAATGGTTTAGCACGTTGAACGTGTTCCCCAAACTATCAACAGAAACGCGCTTAAACAAAATATATGATGATATAAAAGTAATAGATAAATGATAATAAAATATTTAATGCATCATGTTTTGTTGATGTAGTGTGTTATCATATTTTGCATTTATTAATAAACCCTGTATATATGTAGCTCATTGCTGGGGGTAAAGAGTGCATGTCAACATTATTCATATCAATAACCATTGTAGTTCATAGTAACTGTTTACATAACGGTTACATGTCAACAATTAACATGGTGATATATTAAGTTGTGGCCGGCTATTGATATTTAGTAATTGATAATTATGTGGATATTTACACCGCTGCGGTAAGCACGAACTTCGTCCACCCAAATAATATTTACTATTTTCTATTTACTATTAACATTGCTTATTTTGCTGCACATCTTGTGTGCTGTACTGACGTGTGTGTATTGTTACATAGTGTCGTATTCAATAGCATCGTGTATTATTACTTACAGGGTTGTATATGACATGTTGTTACATCCAGGTGTATTCGATATCGAGGTGTATTAACACATCTAGGTGTATGCTAAACATTGTTTATTATAACGCCTAGGTGTATATTGTGTGTAAAATTACAGGTGTACATGTATTCTACATCATGGTTTTGTGTATCGTTGGATCAAGGTGTATCTATAACATTGTCTGTTATAACGCCTAGGTGTATTCGACGTGTATTTACACATCTAGGTGTATGATATGGTTTTGTGTGTCATTGCATCAAGCCTATGCTATAACATTGTCTGTTATAACGCCTAGGTGTATTCGACGTGTATTTAACATTGTCTGTTATAACGCTATAACATTGTCTGTATTGTATTCGACGTGTATTTACCCATCTAGGTGTATGATATGGTTTTGTGTGTCATTGCATCAAGCCTATGCTATAACATTGTCTGTTATAACGCCTAGGTGTATTCGACGTGTATTTACACATCTAGGTGTTTGATATGGTTTTGTGTGTCATTGCATCAAGCATATGCTATAACATTGTCTGTTATAACGCTTAGGTGTATTCGACGTGTATTTACCCATCTAGGTGTATGATATGGTTTTGTGTGTCATTGCATCAAGCATATGCTATAACATTGTTAACATAGGTGTATTCCCCTGCATTGTGTATCATTACATCTGTGTATGATGTATCAGTGTGTATTCGTACACCCCAACATATGCTGTAACATTGTGTATCGCCCCCAAGTGTACTATTACATAAGTATTGTTACATCGAGGTATTTACTATTACATTGTTTATTTTTGCATCAAGGTGTAGACAGGTAAACTGTGTATCATCGTTATAGACAACTACATGTGCATCAAGGTGTAGACAGGTAAACTGTGTATCATCGTTACAGACATCTACATCTGTAGCGCTTTGAGCATGCCTTAGGGTGTGGAAGGGGCGCATTATAAATATGCATTTATTATTATTATTATTATTATGTGCATCAAGGTGTAGACAGGTAAACTGTGTATCATCGTTACAGACATCTACATGTGCATCAAGGTGTAGACAGGTAAACTGTGTATCATCGTTACAGACATCTACATGTGCATCAAGGTGTAGAAAGGTAAACTGTGTATCATCGTTACAGACATCTACATGTGCATCAAGGTGTAGACAAGTAAACTGTGTATCATCGTTACAGACATCTACATGTGCATCAATACACCTAGATGCCCACAGCACTGTTGTTTATCGGATGATATCGGGGTATCTATGTACGAGTTTTATTAGCCCCACGTCTTACCGTGGTCAAGTGTTTCTTGAGTGTCGTCTTCCAACAAGCTCCTTACTGGCCGTGTATGTAGATTAGCCCTAGAATGCCAGTACCAGGCAGATAAACAGTTGTCGTGACTTGGCGGCGATGCCCAGTGACAGCAGCGCGTAGACCATACCCATAACACGACATAACTAGGCTATTGATAGGGACAAAATCCGTAGAGTGTTGCATAACAAGCGAGATCGCGCTCCAAGCTTTACTCTGTCAGTGTCGCCGAACAGAAACACTGTCGGCTTGGCATTAAGTCTAAAGAGAAATATGCAATGACAGGATTCACTGTGTCTGTGGGTGGAATATTCGCGATTTGCTGCAACATTTTCATTGTATGGAACGAAGCTGCCGTGCAGATTGTGTCGTTGTCGCCGAATTCTGTTAAATATTAACACCATGCCGCGTACTTGATTTTATGATTCACTGATATTTTACCACGGGGAGATCGATATGGCAAATATATTTGTGCTCGCGATGCACATGTGCATATTAGTGTCAAAAGTACATGTACATGCTAATTCTGTTAAAGTGCAAATGGTTGTTGGTATGCAGTGTTCCTGATTAATGTCAGTTAGAGAAGGGGGGCTTTTTGTGTATCATGTGTTTATAATAGCAAGAAACGTGCAATGTTTAATTATCTGAAAAGGTAACAAATTATCTGTTAATCAGAGGGGTACACAAAATCAATAGTCTAGACTACCAGTTGTCCGACTTCCATTTTTGTGGAAGTCTCTGTGGCTGAGCGGGTTAGGCTGCTGACTTTGGGTGCTGGCGATTTGGTTCCTGATTCTGTGGGTGTGGGTTCGGATCCCGGATGGGACTAAGAAAGTGAAATTCCAAATATGACATGTTATAATCTGTTAATATTCCTGGTTTTGAGTATTTTACGACCAAATATGGATTAGTTGGTTAAATATAGATACATGTATACTTTTATATTTTATGACATATGGTCTTTGTGCTTTGGTCCAATATTTAATTACACAAATTACAAGGATGTAGCCATATGTCATCCGATTGCCTGTGTCTTTGTGATTACATTGAGAGCCGTATGGCGTGGGTAACAGAAGCATTATGTAATATCCTATTGTGATGAGATCTGCGGGGATTATAGTCTAAGTATACCATCCGTGGGGATTGTGGCTGTGTAATAGTAGATTCTCGTGACGCTGTGGCATTGATTGCTGTGTTGGCTAGCTCGAAGCACTGGGGACAGTTCAGTACATGCAATTACATTGAATTGCTGAATACGAATATACTGATAATACGGCAGTTATACTTCCACAATGAACCATCATAATGGTTTGGGATTACATTGGCTTACGTACAATCATCATGACATGTGTCCTCTGATATCGATTAGCGAAAGATCGCTCCGATATGTCTGCTGTCTGAACCGCGATGAAGAGACATTTGCACTTTGGGGACAGACGAAAAC